ATCACTTTGTCAGTCCTTTCTGGCTAACTGCTCTGCAAAGGCCTATGTTCCTAGGTATGTGGCAAAAGAAATGCCAAAAAGAAAAAAAAAAAAAAAAAAAAAAAAAAAAAAAAAAAAGGCTGGCAAGATAGCTCATCAGGTTAAGCAGCTGCTTTGGCAAGCAAGGACCAGGGTTCGACCCTGAGGCATGCTGAACCTCGAAGGAGTCGGGTGTGGGGCCCAGCAATGGGGAGCCTGAAAACAGAAGGATCACTGAGTCTGAGCTGCTTAGTGAGACCCTGTACCAAATACATAAAAGAAAAAAGAAATCAGACTTTTGCACTACAGAAAAATGATGCTAGCTTAAATTAAACCGGATTAGCACGTGCTTCCCCAGATGCAGATCACAGTCTCGAGCCTCCCAACCTCCCCACAAGTACTCAGGCATTGGCATCCGAGATGGACACACGGTCCAAGTTGTTTACAAACGCCACGAATTTGGAATTACTTTTTTGTGGGGGGGGGAGGGAGTAAAAAGTGTGAGCAAGGCGGGACGTGCTCTGTACCCTTCCTCTCTATGCCTTCCCCTTGTGCGTTATGCTGGGATTAACGGCGGGGTCGGCCCCACACACAAACGCAGCTGGCCGCACGGTCAGCCCGAGCCCCGCTGTGCAACCACGTCAGGAATTCCAGTAAGTTGGCAACACTGGAGCACAAAGACAACAACAATGAGGAAAACCCTTCAGGGCAGAAAGGAATGTTTGGAGCCCCGACTGCTACAGTGAAAGGACACACACACACACACACACACACACACACACACACGCTCGCGCCTGCGCACCACCGGGCGCATGCAGCCCCCTCCCACCTGCTCCGGCCCGCGGCTGCGCCCTGCAACGTGGAGGGGCCAGGCGCGGAGCCTGCGGCGCAGTCCTGGAGGGCGTCGGGCCGCCTGACCTCGGCGCGCTCTCGTACCATCGCCCGGCCGCCTGGAACGGCATAAATCACCCGCAGACTGCACCGACCATCGCGCGCCCTCGCCGCTCCTCCTGCCGCCGGGTCGCCTCCATTCACCCCAGCTCCTCCCGGCCCTTCGGGTCCCCATCCTGCCTCTTCCTAGGCGCCGCGCGGCAGGAGGCGAGAAGTTCCAATGACTTTGGCCGGAGTCCAGAGCCCTGGATTTCCTAACCCAGAAAACACTATCCGCAACCTCACGCTGTTTGTCCCCGCGCGTCTACTGTTCGTCTTTCAGACATTGGGGGAACGTAGCCCCGGCCGAGCGCTCGCAACCTGCACAAGGTCCTGGGTGCCCTTCTCAGGACGACAGAGATAGCAATCTGAGCACTCGCTGTACCCTTCCCCCGGCAGCCCCCCCCCCCCCCAGTTCTACGACTGCAGAAGGGCCGAGGCGAGGGGCGGGACCTTGCCCGGGCGCCACGTGGATCCCGGGCAGCCGCGTCCAGGCGTCGCTGCCCCTCGGCTGGGGGAAAGGCTGCTTGGACCCAGACGCTGCCTCGGAGTCCGAGTCAGCCTCACGCTGGGCAAGAGCCCCGAGCACAAGCCCTGTTCTTTCTGACGAGGTGTCGCGTACGCGCTGACGACCGTGCCCTGCGCGCGCGTGGATGGCTGGCTCCGCGGGGTTCCTCGCCAGCCCATTCAACGGAGCCCCAAAGAAGGGGACCTGGGAGCTCCCCCCGCACCTTCCCGTTATTCATAGGCACCACAGAGAAGTGCTCCAAAAGGCACAGCCTAAAAAGTGCACGTACTTTTAGAAAAGAGCGTTCTGGTGGTAACACCTGCAGAGGTGGCGCTTAGGGGAAGAGCGGAACGAGTCCCTGTCGCAGCAGCGCTCCAGCCGCCCCGCTAGTGTGAAGACACAGAGCAGCCCCCCGCACAGCCCGAACTCCACCTGGGGAAACTCGGGGCTCCCGCGGGGCCGCGAGGGTGCAGGCTGGGAGCGAAGGTCGCGCCCTCCGCGGCAGGCTCTCCGGCCCTTCCTTCTCTTCTTTTCCTTTTTCCCCGGACTTGCCCTTCTGTCCTCTCCCACCCCTCCGTAGCGTCCCCCCTTCCGTCTCTCCTTGCCCCTGCACTCCCTTCCCCCAGCGGTGCTCCTTCCCCGAGGGCAGTCTACGCGGCGGGCGCACCGGCCGTGTGCCTCAGTGGGCCGGGTTGTCGCGCCGGAGCGCTGCAGGGTCGGCGCGTGGGCAGCCGGGCGCGGGCGTGGACGGCGCACGCGGGAGCGCCGGGGTCGCATCGCCGAGGGCAGGGGGCGGGCCGGCGACGGGGGGGTGGGGGCTGCCCCACCGGATTCCCGCATGCTAGTTCCGGGGCGGCAGGGTCTAAAGGGCTCTCTGCGCGGCGGGAGGGTGGGGTCTGGCGCGGGTAGAAAAGGGGACGCTCGGGCGTCGGGGCCGGCTCTCTGCCACCGGCGCGGTCGCGAGCGGAGCGCTGCAGGAGCGGCGAGCGGCGCGCGCCCAGCTCCCGGGGAAGGAACGGCGAGGCCGGCACCGGCACCGGCACCCGCTATGGAGCGCGGGGCGGCGGCCACGGGGTGCTCGCTGCTATTGCTGCTGGCGCTCGCTGCCTGCCCGGCGCGGGTCGGCGGCCAAGGTAAGCGCTCGCCCCGAGCCGCGCGCGACGTCGGGCTTCTCGGACACGGCGGGATCGATCCACCCGCCAGCCCAGGGGATCGCGGCCGGGTCGGGCCGGAGGGGCGGCGGCGCCACGCTGCGCGGGGCCCTCGGCCCGGCCGAAACCTGGCAGCCGCCGGCCGGAGGACGCAGCCCCGGGGTGTCGGTGACAGCGCACCCTTGGCACCCCGTCCTTGTGCCCATGTGTGGTTTCTCCGTCCTCTCAGAAGAGCACTTGGAGGTTGGAAGCGGGAGGACGAGGAACCCCCGCAGCTCCGCAGCCCGCGCCGGGGACCCGCCGCGTCGCCTCCCGGCCGAGCGGTCCTGGCGCGTCCCGAGCGCAACTTCCCACCTGCAGCTCGCCGGGACCCCGCGCGCCCCGCCCGGCCGCGCTCCCCTCCCCTCGCCGGCGAAACCTGGTCCCGCCGTGACCCTCCAGAGACCGCATCTCGAGATACGGATCGTTTACGAGCCGAGATAAGGCGGGGAGGCGGGATTGGCCGGGAGAGCGGCCCTGCGCCGAGGGCTTTTCTTGCAAGGTTTCCCTTTCCACCCGGGAGGTGGGGGCTTTTGTGTGGATGAAAGGGGCCCGGCTGCGCCGCCAGGGTTTTGGGGCTCAAAGCCGAACGGGGAAAGTTTTCTACTGTGGCTTTAAACTTCTCTCAAGTTGCTGGGGAGTTAGTTTTTTCCAGAAACAGAGGAGAGGAAAAGAAAGGGGGGAAGAAGAGGAGGGAATAAAAACAGCAGAGAGGACAAGGAGAGGAAAAGACGAGCAAATAGGAGGGCACGAGGGGCGAAGGCCCGGTAGGAACAGAGCGCGACGGAGCACGAGGAGCGAAGCGCGAGCCGGGATGAATGGGAGCGCGCGGAGGCGGCCGCCCAGCCCGCCAGCTCGCCCCTGGCTTTGCGTTGCTAGGTAGCGGTCCGAGCTGCTTGTGACCGACCGCCAGACAGACAGAACGGACGCTGCTGCCACCACGGGGACTAATCTGTCTGCGGGGATGGGGGAGCCCCCTCTCCTCCAGCTTCTGCACGTCGGACAACTTAATTGCCCGACAATAAAAATGAAACCGCTATTGTTGCAGGATTAGCCAAAGCAATAAATTGATTTCCCTGGATCACATATTGGGGTTGACGGGTGGGGACTGTGGGAGCCCCCATTTATGAAGGAGAGCAAGAGGGGAGGGCTTGTGGATGGGCCGTGGCATGTATTCAGATGGTTAATCTGCTTTCTTTCTTCAATTCTTAGCCTAAGCTCCTTAGAGAATCAAGTAAGTAATTATACAGCGACTCCTAGCAGCACCCATTTCAGACTTCCTGGGAAGAAATTTGGAAACGCCAACAAACACCACTGGTCTTGCAGAAATCTTTGGAAAGGGAGGGGATGCAGGGGAGACTGTTAATAATTCTTTGAACACCTTTTCTCAGGGTGAAAAACACAGGAAGATGGGTTATGGATGTCGAGGGAGGTTTGCACAGTGCTGGGGGTGCTATCTATCATCTATCTATCATGTGCTTAGTACAATGTTAGGATTTATCTGTGGCTGACTGGCAGAAGGAACTCTCACCCTCATTTACAAAATGATGACAATATGTACTATTATTAGTATGTACAGTAATAACATATACTTATGTTTTTGACAGGTTATGTTCTTTTTTTTGTAAAGCACTTTTTTTTTCAGAACCGGGGATTGAACTCAGGCCCTTGAGCTTATTCCACTGAGCCATCTCCGTGGCCCTAACAGGTTCTGTTCTAAGCACACATTTAAACTTTATAAATCACTTTAAGTACTAATATTATCTGTTTTACAGATGGGAAAATGTAGTAGATAGCATAATTAAGTGATCTGCCTATGCTCATATTACCGGAAAATACTGTGAAGTAATTTGCAGAATTCTGAATCCAGAGTCCATAATTTAACCACTATAGTATTTGGCTCTCTGTTTCTGACTTTGTTTTATCTTGAGACAAGGTCTTGCTATGTAGTTCAGGTTAACCTTGAGCTCCCTAGTTGGCAGGGGCAAGCACGTGGTGACCCTGTCTGCCTCAGCCTGGGAGTGCCCAGCTTCTGCTTTTCTTTGGTGCTTAAAAAGTTCTGCTCTCTGAGGTACTACCCATGTGTAAGTTACTGACAAAGCTGAGGGGCAGTCCACGAGTCTATCTTTCATAAGGTAAAATTTACCTGCTGCTTCATAACTGGAGATTTTTTTTTTTTTTAAAGAAACTCATCAGGTTTCTAAGATCTGAGCTCAGTTACTTCATTTCTAGTCTGTTTCTGATTGGTGTGAGGTCAGTGTCCTCTGCTTGGAGGGAATTTCTGTATTCCCTTGGATTGATCCTGAGTTATATGAAGCAAAATACAGTGAAATCCTAAATTCCTGGAGTGAAGTCCTACATTTCTGGTAGGAACCCACTGCAGACTTTGCATCACTAGAAATTGGAAAACAACTTTCAGTGTTCTATGGTTTTTATTTAATTTTTTTATTTTTATTTTTTAGGGAAGGGTCTACAGGGTGTTCAGGGTCTCACTACTAGATCGAACTTGTAGTGATTCTCCTGTTTACAGCCTCCCAAGAGCTGGGATTACGGGGTGCACACCACCATGCCCACTCTCAATTGCTGTCTCATCGCGGGGCCTGCAAGCAGGTGCTTCAATTCTCTGAGCTATTTGACCGGCCCTTTAAAATTTTTTTTAAATCTATAGTTAAAATTATTTGCATTTCTTCATGTTTTGCATAATACTTTTCAAGAAATAAAATTTGAGTGTGCCAGAACTCTGAAGCTGAACTATCTGGGTTGTGGCAGTGGCTGCATTATTTCCTAGCTGTATGATCTTGGAGAAGTCACTTCACTTTGTATGGCTCGGATTGATTAATTGAAAGTTGACATGATAGTGACAGAAGTCATCTCAGGACATCTTGTGAGCATAAAGAGATATATGTAAGTGCTTTCTGTGGCATAAGGTGAATAGATCGTGAAAACAACAGCAACTATTATTATTATTTTTTTTTTTAGTGGAACCAGGGATTGAACTCTGGTCCTTGCGCTTGCCAGGCAAGTACTTATTCCACTGAGCTATCTCCCTGTTGTTATTTTCGAGCCAGGATTTCCTATGTAGTTCAGGCTGCCCTTGAATTTACAATGTAGCCCAGGCTGGCCTCAAACTTTCATTAATCCTCCTGGTTTAGCCTCCCAACTGCTGGGATTATAGGCCTGTGCTACCAGGCCTAGTTTATTTTATTACATTTGTCAAGCACTTTACCATGCTCCTTTGCAATACTAACCAGTTTTTAAATGTAGGCCTTGGAAGTACAGGTATGTGCCACTATATCTAGCTACTTTTTTTTTTTTTTAGAAACTATTTTTTTTTTTTAGTTAATTTTTTATTTTCCTCTCTCTCTTCTTTTTTTTTTTTAAATTTGGTGCAGGGTCTCACTATGCAGCTTGGAACTCGTAGTGATTCTCCTGATTTGTGCCTCGCTAGTGCTGGGATTACAGCCCTGCACCACCACACGGACTCAGTGTGGGGGTGGGGCAGGCGCGTCTTGTAGTGCCAGGGATTGAACCCTGGCCCCTGTGCTTACCTAAGCAAGGGCTTAGTCTGCTGAGCTATGACTCCAGCCCTTAGAAAACTGTACTGATTTTAACTGAAGTTATGTTATTTAATCCAATAAAAAGGAGTTAGTGTGGGCTTTCAGGACAATTTCATCCGGAAATTTCTGCCTGAAAGGCTTGTGGGAGAAGGACCAACAAACAGGCTACGTTTTTTGCTCCATCACTTTTGTGCTGCCTCAGGGCTGCTTCCTTTCACAGCAGTCTCCTTCTGTTTGTTTTTTGAAGTGCTTTTCTGGTCTTCACAGGGTTTCTGCCTGCACTGCCTTCAATCCTGTGCCTGTCTTGTAGTCGAAACTCAGGAGATTTTACAGCAGCAGGGAGGGCTCAGGGCTGGTCTGGTCTTCTTGCATTATTTTACAGATAAGCAGGGAAGCCTGGGAGGGCTGAGAGGCCAGGGGGCTGAGCACCTTGGCTGAGATAGCGCTTGAGATCCCAATCTGTCCCATTCCTAGGCCTCCTATTTGACTAATTGTAGCTGCCTTCTGGGTGTTCCCACCCTTTCTGGTGAGGGGAAATCTGTAGATTCCTGGATTCCTTTGGATTGATCCTATCATTATCAGGTGAGGCAAAGTAACCTTGATGAATCTTTAAAACGTGTAGATGGGCCTCTTGCTCCAGGCTAGAGAATAATCTTGTAGTAGGCTGGTGCAATCACCATGGGCTTTCAGCTTGGCCCAGTATTTACATTTCTCCTCCTCTGCTTTTTAAAAAAAAAAACTAAAAAATGGTCTTGTGTGCTCGATGCTAGCCTGACTATGTAGCCCACCCTGGCCTGGAACTCAGTGAGCCTCTTCCTCAGCCTCCCACCTCTTGGAATGTAGGTGTGGGCGACCTGCTCAGCTTCCACTTTTCCATTTTATTTTATTTATGTTTTTTTGAGAGAGGGTTTCACTTAGGGTCCCACCAGTCCCAGGCTGGCCTTGAACTGGTGGTGCTTCTTCTGCCTCTGCCTCCCAAGTGCTGGGATGGCAGGTGTGCACCACTACGCCTGGCCCAATTTTCCAATTCTTGGCCCATGAAGGAGACGAAGAACTTTGTTTCTTGTAGTGTACACTGTTGCAGCACTAGGTTTTTAGTCTGTTATTTATTTTTTGATCAGGCTTTAGGATTGAGCCCTGGGGTCTCACACACATTAGGCAAATGTCCTAGCACTGAACTACATCTCCAGCCTAATTTTATTTTATTTTGAGACAGGTCTTACTCATTTATCCAGGCTGGCCTCCTGCGTCAGCCTCTAAAATAGCTGGGATTTTAGGCTTGCACTACTGCACCTGGATGGTTTTTAGTCTTATTTAAGGTAGTTATTAGGTCATAGTTAATCATTGTTCATGTTCTCTAGGCAAGCACTGTATGAATGCTAAATT